AGCTAGAGCGGCTCCCGGCACGGGGCTCCATTTTGCGTAGGGCGGCGACGAGGCTCTGTACGGCTGGCCCATGCCCGGCGGCCTTCCGCTCGGCCGTGGGGCTACTGGGGCTGGGGCGCTGGTGGCCTCGGTTACTCCGCGGAGGCGGCCATGTTTCCGCTCCTGCCCACAGCTCCTGTCAGGGGCTGCGCCTTCGTCGCCAACGACTGTGGCCAGGAGCGGGCGTCGCCAGCCCCCGGCGGCTACAGCGAACCCGGTATCGGTGACCCGAGGTGCGATAGCAGAGCTAAATAACTGGAGCTATCAAAGGGTGAAGTGACTGCAGCCCTAAATCCAGCTCAGCTGGGCCTCGGGAAAGGCACTCGAACGTAAAGGGGCATAAACAACGTTGCAGAACCCCTGCGTGGGGATGGAGGTGATGGCAGGTGGCCCATTCCCTAGACAGGGATTAAAAATTCTGGTTTGTTCTCAGGGAATGTGCTGGTGATACACCTGAGAGGCAAAAATGAGAATGGAGCAGCAGATGTATGAAATTGCTTCATCCATTACAGAAGCAACTGCACTGAGGAGCAGGAATGAATTTTTTCTTGTGTTTCTTTCCACACTGAAGTATGAGTTAAACATAAAAGTATATTCTGTGCACAGATCATTGCTAACTGGCTAAATTACTTATCTCTCATTGTAGAAGAAAAGACATGAGGGCTTGTATGTGTGAATTTTAATAGCTGGGCAGCAAAGCCTAGTCGCTAGTTTTTGTCAGCAGGGCACCGTCCCTCCTTCCCAAATACAGAAAACCTGACCAATTTTTTTGTCATGTTCAATCTCTAGTTCATGGCTAGTGAATGAAGAATCCTTGGCCAGTAAAGAAAGGCAAGTGTTAGAGGAAAAGTATAGAGATTTTTCAGGTAGAAAAATCAGGAAAAGCAGACTCTTAGGTAGAAGAAAAGCTTTGTCCTCTCTGCTGGAAAAGCTGGACTTCATTTGTTGTTAAATTCCAGGGAATCCAGAGGTGATACACCATGAATCTACAGGAAAAGCTTCAACATGAATGTGAACTCAAGTTATGAGATTAAAATCTTTTAAAAAAAGCTATCTTAACTAATTTAATACCCATAGTACTGTATTTTCTATAGTATCCTTTCATATAAAGGTATTTATTGATCCTTTTCTGTCTAGCATGGTGGTCCTCTAAGATTTCCTTTGCAGTGAATGACTTACAGACAGCATTTGCACTTTTAGCCTCCATCTCCTCCACATTGTACACATACTTAACATTTATAACCCTGAGCTCTTTGGGCTAGTTTACTCATCAACTAAGCTTTCAAAAGTCTGTCCTCTTAAAACAGGGAATTCCCATTGCAATCACCCTTTGATTTATCCTCCTGATTGACTCACTCAAAATTTCTCTTGTGATCAGTTTACTCAAATCAGTTATTTCCTGCAGGCAGGTCTCTCCCAATATTCCTGCTGTTTGTTGTGGTTACTCAATACTGTAAAGAAACCTGTTACTTCCTTTATGAAGAAACACATGTACTCAACTATTTTCAGTAACAATTGTTTTCCAGCCTACATCATAGAGGCCAAAGTGTAACTTCCAAATAACTTGACAGATGCTTTTGTCAATACCCAAATCTGGTTTGGACAGCAGTAGAGTTGACTCCTGCCAGTCATGATATACTGGCTTTACCCAAGGTTACCTTGTCCTAAAGCAACCCTGTTAAATCCACATTATGCCCTCTTATTCTCTGACAGTCTCTAACATTACCGTATATCATCATGCTGGTTTTAGTTAATTTTTAAAATAGCTCATGCTCTTTCTGCTTCTAAATGCTAATCTACCACATTTCAGTTATCCCTCAATTAACCAGTGTTGCATATTAAGATCAGCAGCTTAAGTTTCTTCATCTGGTGGTAACGCTGCAGCAGGCTTGGGCCTTCTGGTGACCCCCAGAAAGGAGAAATAATTTTCTCCCATTCTTTCCACAACTTCAGACCTTTCTGTGACTTTTCCAATTATTCTGCCTTCTGAAGCTATGGAAACTGGCTTCAGCAAGAGACAGGGTGTTAGCAGGGAGGCTGGGTTCCCTAGAGTAACTGAAACACTGCAGGCATCTGTTTGGTATTTAACTCATGTGCAGGTTTAAACCAACTGCCAGAGTTGAGTCAGGAAGTAATTTCTCTTCTGGTTTGGACTGGCAGAGTTCCACATTCGTGGGAACATCAAAGCATTCTTGCTTACCAAACTCTTTCCTGTTATAATGATCTTTCCTCCTTTTTGACATACTGTAAGTTAGATCTGAGGATGGGATGCCACGGTGTGCATGGAGTAAATATTTTCCTTTGAAGCAAGTGTCTGGTACACAGGTTCCCTGGGACTGCAGGGGAAGCAGCTGATGACTCAGGTGGTCCTTTCTTGTCCCTTTTCTCTTCTGATTAGGCTCTCTGAGCTAATACCCAAGTATTTTCTGTCTTGCCAATTATACTCAATTAAAACTTCCTGAGGGGTTTGTTTATTGCCAGTACTTTCTTCCTGCTGCTCATTCTCCAATCCTGTTAACACTATTTTAGCAATTGCCTTATGCCTATTCCAGGTTCCTCCTTGTTATTAAAACAAGGCAGATTACAAGGAATGTTAATTTAAGGAGTAAAAGACTTCAGTAAATGCGCACATTTGCTTTGACTCCTACCTACACTTGATGCTACATACGTGTATTTTCATTAAGTCCCTCCAACAGGCATTCTGCTGGCAGGTGTTTCCCAAATTCATTGTGTTGTTCTGCCTTTGACCTCTTTAGCAGTGCCAGAAAGATTTCTATCAAATGACTGTCTGTTTCTTTCTTCTCCAGTCTCCTTCCCTTTAGGTTAATTCAAGTGAAGTTATTTGCACAATTCTAGTTAACTCTGTACTTGAAGAAGTCTTTCAAAACTAGAAATATTATGAAAACCAAGTTACACACATTAATCCTACAACTGTTTCTCAGTCCTCATTTGACTAAACACAGTCTTCAAGTGTTTATGGCAATACTTAAAGATTTACCTTAAAGAAATGTGACTGGGATTGAAAGAAAACTAATACCACCACTTTTGAAATATATAATTATATACTGAGTGTAAAATCTCAGGGTTGTTAGCTAACCTCTTTCTAGCTGGAGGTGGAAAAGATAAACTTCAATTGTGATAGCTGGGAAGAGGCTATGTTTTAAAAGCATCAGCATGCTGTTATTTCGACAATGAGTTTAGTAGGTGAGCCTGTAGCAAGCAAAGAGTTAGTACAAGGGGTAAGTCTGGTGTGTTCCCAAATTTACCTGCAGTATCTGTAGAGGCAGGGTGCTAGCAAGAAAGTTATTAGCACACCAGGGCATTTCCCGAGGACAGGAAATGATTAGCAGAAGAGAGGTATTATCGTCAGGGTATGCTGTCCAGCATACAAACAGCTGAGTTCAGCTATTCTCTGCAGTGAAACCAGTTTAAGGCACCATCGGATAAGAGCTCTACTAAAGTTTGAAAATTTTATTTATTATACCAATATATATTTTTGGACTACTCCCTTTACTGTACCTCAACTCCAGCATTTTGGCCAGGAAGCACATGTCAGTGTGCTGGCCCCTGGTAAGCCTTGTATTGTCTCTCACCTCTCAGTCTTAAGACAGTTCTCCTCACTGCAAAGCAGAGATCAGAAGAGCAAATTATATTGCTAAAAATTAAAAAGTAATGGAGAAGATATAAGAATGCAGAGTTATAACTTTGAAATATTTTTGCCCTGTATCTCTCCATGTGGCTTAACCATCTCTTTTCCTTCCTTCCTCTGACCACTTCCTTTCCAGCAGCAAACACTGCAGGTCTCTGAAGCTCTCTTGGCCCACAACCACTGCTCTGATTTCCCCTCACTGACTCTGCTCCCAGTCCACATTAACACCTTTCCCAGTTTGATGCCTTCCTGTCACAGTTTGATATATTCCTCCTCTTCCCTGACACCTAACAAAAGGGAGAAGTGTTTGAGGTGCATAGGTGCCAAGCAAACAAGGGAGAGATCTGTCTTGACCCAACCCTGCCCTGCCTTCACCACTCTGCATGTAAGCAAAAGGACTGGGTTGTCAGCTAACCCAGTACAGACACGAGAATCTGAGCAGGACACTTAACCAAACTTCATTCACTCTACAGTTGAATAGAAGCCCATCGATTCCGAATTAAAACCTTCCAGACTGCTGGTCCAGAGAAGGCACACCAGCTGCTGCAGATCTGACAGTTCTTCAACAGAACATAAGCTTCTGATTTGCTGATGGGACAGGTGTGAAGGAGTTTCCCAGAGGAATATTTGTCTTGCTGCACGTGCAGCAATAAGCTTTTAAAATTTCTGTGGTTTCATTCTCAGCCAGAGTTGCACCATCAATATTTAATTTGGAATACTGAAATAACTTTTTCCGGTGATGCCAATGAAGAGGGAGTCATGCACGTTGTGGGCACTACCATCCTCTCTTTTCCATATGCTTCTCCCAGCTCTAGGTGATCAGGCCAAGTCAGAACGAGGATGATTAAAAGCAGACTCTTCCAAATAGCTTTTTCTTAGAAGGACAAGTCTATGAAGTCAGTTCAATGTCACCCATAGTCCTACAAGCAGAGTCCCAGCAAATAAGAAAGCAGGAGGGTTGGAACCAGAAGGACCCTTATCCTGGCTGAGGGTCCTGGCATCAAGGGCTTGGCTGGACAGATTAGAATCGAGGAGCTCCATAATCATCTGGCATCCTCTCAATATTGTACCTGAGAGAAAAAAAAAAAAAGAGGGAAAACCTATGAGGACAACCTACTCCACATTGCTCCCCTCCCTGTACAACAGGCTTATAGGCAGACTGAACACCAAGAAGCTTTGTTGCATTTCTATCTGCAGCTCAGATCCCCAGGAAGAAAAATATTACTTCCAAAAGTGAAAAGCTTTCATAAGGTTACTGTTATCCTTCACCTCAAACTCAGAAATCAGGCATCTCAAAAACTCAGCATCTCAGGAGCAACTCAGGAAAAAGATGGTGTTTTTGTAAGATTTGACTTTGGATTTAAGAGCAGGCCACAATGAAGAACAAAACTTTGGCCATTCAACTTACGATTCATGGCCACAGTGAATAAGGGGCAAAGATGTTTTCAGAGAAAAAAATCTTCTGAGCCACCTTCTAATTATAGACAGTTAAGACTTTATATATTTACAGCAATCAACCCCCTCATTTCTGACATACTGTTCTGTCTGCATATTACTAGATTCACTGTCTCCACTTCCAGCACAACTGCCTCTCCCATCCCATCTGAAGACTAACCCTTTTCTCTGCACATCCTGACTTCTCTCCTTATCATGCTACCAAACATACCTACCATACTGTGAAACAATTTGGCATGGGTTCAGTGCAAGATAAATCTTCGGGGCTGTACATTATGTAGAAGAAATAACACTGAAGATGACAAACAAAGGTGAGTAAAGTCTTCTTGTTCTAGGCTTTACAAGTTCTTTGGAAGGAATGGGAAATGAATTTAAGCAAATGTTTTTACAGTAGATCAATGGTCCTATTGCATTTAAAAAAAAAAAAATAAATGAAGTGAGCCGGTACTCGCAGGTACTCAAAAAATCTGTTGCATTGAAATTGCTGCACTAGCATCTTTCCAAGTTGGTTTGGTTTCCAGCTAAGAAGCAAATTCAATCACTTCGCCAAGGGTACACAAAACTACTAAAGACTATGGATCAAGAATGGTTCTTTTCCTCAAGAACCTCTAGAATGCATTTGCTTGGTAGTCCTGCTGCTGGTAAGCAAAACTGATCTATGGAAACACTGGCCTCGGGGAAACTAGTTTTCTAGGCAAAAGCAAGGGAACATGTAGACTGCAATAAAACTGGGTCTGTGACCAGTCTCTTCCCAGCAGCAGCTGTACTTCTACTTCTGTGCAAACACTTCTACTTTTGTGCAAACACTAGGCCCTTTACTGCAACCCGCACTACAGACAATGCAAGAGAAGTATGTGGTGAGAATCCTTCCCTGTCAGGCAAGGATTGTACCAGGCAATGTTCCTCTCTGTCAGAGATCCCTTACCTGTGCCTGGAAATATACATTATAGGCACTCCTGGGATTTTTCGTATTCTCCGCTTGAGTTCTTTATCCACTGTAGCCACAATATAACATTTATGCTGCAAAAAAAGGAGGTGAGTCAGATTCAACACCAGTGAACTTGCAGAAAGGATACAAAGCTGATCAAAAGCTTCTATTCAGTGAGCTCATTTAAAACAGAAGGGCTGAGTCCTTAGCAAGGCATTACTAGGACCTGTACAGAATTCCACTAGTAACATCTTTCTGCTCTTCAAAACAGACTCACAAAAACATCCGAAGTCTGTCGAGCCTTCCTAGTTGACAGCTTTCCCATCCAAGTGCTTCTTGATGCTGTCCCATACAACAGGGAAGACTATACCTTGCTCCAAATAAAGTTGTGCTAGGGACTGAAACTGCCTCTAAGTGAGATTTTACAGTTACTTTGTGGGAAATTAAAGTTTTCAGTAACTAGGAGGGTTCAGGAATTTTAGTATGTTAGCATAGTATAGAAAATTTCAGAAACAGAAATACCTGAGTGACCCTCTGTACCAAGCAGTCATCTGCATAGGTTCCTTTGTGCCCACATGGCAAGCGCTCAAACCGAGGGTCCTTGGCAATTCTGTGGGGACACATAAGGCAGCATCACAGCAATCAGACCAGAGTGTTCAGTAACACAGTACGGAGGAACAGTAATGCCGCTTTCTGTGATATACAGCATGTTATTCTCAAAACAAGGGCTGAAGGGATGGAGGAAATGGTACGCAACAGTCAACTGAAATGAGGAACAAAAAAGAATGCAGTGTGTCTGGCTAATTATTATAGGTTAAGTATTTCTTAGTACTTGTTAGCTGAATTCAAGATCCCTACAATGTTAGGCTCTTGCATACAAAGTCATTTGAAACAATTGATCTGTGGGAAGAACTAGATGTTCTTTTGGTATCTGATCTCTGTATATAGCAACACTTCAACTCCTCTCTGAAGGGAACATCAAAGCTGTTTATTTGATGCACTTGGATACTTTACAACACAACAGGCCAAAATAAAAAGTAAAGAATGGTACATCTGACTGGTACACCTGGAGAGCAGGAACCACATTGGACTAGTTTTGTACAGATCACACAATAACCTGGCTCTAGATTATCATGCTATCTACTCCTACAAGAATAATATGAGGCATGAGTGAAAGGTTCCATAAGACCGTCTTTATTTTTAGCAATTTCTATAATTAAAAAAAAAATCTATATATATTTTGAGAAACAGGATGAAGTGTTATTCTAAAAGCCTTAGGGGGGGGAAAAAGATTTACACATGAATACTGTGCATTCATATCCAGTATTTATTTTTGAAAAAAAAAAAATCTAAAACTTGAGCCATCATACCATTCTCATACAGCCAGAGAAATAAAACCAAGTCTTATGCAACAACATAACCATCCTCTACTGCAAGAGCACCTTCAGGGAAAGTGCTTTTATTTACATTAAAACATTAAGTTCTAGAAACAGAGAAGAACACCCTGCACCTACCTTAATGCCACACGGTACTTCTGTCCTAACTTCTCAATTTCACCCATCACACAATCTGTGATACATGGAATACCTACATGCAAAGAAAGCCCATATTAAAACCAAGCAGTATTTCTTAGTATTTCTTCACAGACCCCTAGATATTGCCCACATGCCCAGGAACTGTCATGGAACTCTGTAATGTATTACTTACAGTTTTAAACTTTTGAGAACTGGTACAGTTTCAAAGTAATGAAATGCAGACCCACTGAGTTTGACCATGCCATAATAATGTTAGATTTTTAAGTTACTAATGCTTGACCTTTGTTGAGATTAGAATTTAAAACCATTGTCTGACTGAAACCAGAGACAGTTCTATGGTTACCATAGCCATGAACAATGAGCTTGATTACAGCACATATTATTTTTTCAAGATTTCTGTTATTCTCAGCTAGTGGTATGAGACTGATAAAGCACACCATAAGCACGCTGTGGCACTATGTCCAGAAGAAGCTGCGAGTAATGCAGACACTCACACTTGGCATAGAGACAGTCCATCATTGACTGCACTAGGTCCAGCTTGGCCTTGATGGAAAAGTTGATGAAGTTAGTGTCAACCAGGATATGATAAGGGGGGCCCAACTGTGTGTTATACTGGAAGAATAAGCAAGAGGGATGCTGGGGGCTGCGAGGAAGACAAATAATTCAAATCAGTTAATTGCAATTAACAACATAGTCAATCCTACAGCTTGCACAGAAAGAAGAGTAATGAGCAGAAACAATACGAGGCAGTGTGGGATGGCGACCTATCAGGTCTCCAGCCCCCTCCTAAGCCCAATCCCTTGGTTTGGGGCACCATTTCCTACTCTGACAGTTTTGCTCAGAAACGCCTTTGGTTGCAGCCTGCAGCCGAGCCGGCCGGTTCTCTCTCCCTCCCTGCCTGCCCAAAGTGTCGGCAGCACTTACACCTCTCGCTCCTTGATGGCACTCGGGTCCTCTTTCTTCTTCGCGGGGGCTTTCGCCCGGTCCTTCTCATTACTGCAAAGAAACACAGGCACTCCTGGGGGGGGGAGGCGGCAGGGAAGGGCCAGCGGCGGAGCGGCCTGAGCCGGGATCAGGTCCCGAGCGGGACACGGGGACGACCAGCG